GTTCAACAGTTTGAAAATAAAATTACATTTTGGAAAATAAGAAACCATACACAGAATAATAATTGTGAAAATATAATATAGGTATTGTAGTATTTTCTTACCGTAATAATTGTGATGGCTACCTTCTTGAAAACTGACGAAGACGTTTATTTTTTCCACGTAATTTCAAGTTGCTACACGTTGTAAGTTGTACATGTAATGGGTTTAAAGTACGATAACTTTTCAAAGATTTGATTTATTTTAAACTGCCAAGTACCAATTAGGTTGAGTGTTTCATGGCATCGATCACTTGAAAAATATTCAAACATAAAAGGTTTTAGGATGTAACAATAGATGCACATCAGCCTCTAGGATAGAAGTCCGATTGATTGTCGGGCACACCGAGCATAGACATCAAAGGTATCAGTCATATTCAGATATTCTTTCCATTGGACTTTAGGATACCAGATAACAATACAAGATATATAATATAAATTATACACCAAAACGCACAATAACTATTTCGATTACTCACTATTTAAATAAAAATGTAGGTAATAATAATGAAAAATTAAAAAATGATCCAATCATTCTACAGACGTACAGCACGGCACGGCACACGGACTACCTACGAAACGAACACACTAACTTGAAATGAAACGTGAAAAAATATTATGTACACAGGTAACGTACATAATAATAATAATGATAATAATAATTTTTCGTATATAATATACAAGTATACAACACACACACACACACACACACACACACACACACACACACATATGCATATATATATGTTTGTGTGTGTGTGTGTATTAAATATGTGAGGGAACCCACACTACGACCTGTAGATAGTGAGCTGTTGTAGTAATAGTTGTAATAGTATAGTAGTAGTAGTACTAGTAGTAGTAGTAGTAGTAGTAGTAGTAGTAGTAGTAGTAGTAGTAGTAGTTGTGGTGGACGTAGTAGTAGTAGTTGTATATATCATGTACGAACGATTGTATATGATTGTATAGACTTTTATCACTAGGTAATTAATGCGGACAGGTTGTGCACATCAGACAACAAAAAAGTTTGATCAACCCTTTCGTGAATCGTGATAAAACAATACCGGCAAACTGAGCCGGCGCCGGCACGGCGGCAATGCGGCACTCGCCACTCAGGAGTCAGGGGCATTAGGCAATAGGCATACATTAATATAGAGATACATTTAATAACATTATAAGGATACAATTATAAGGCATACATTTTATGGCAGTTCACAGGGACAGGGGCTTTTCAAGCCTTGAACTATCACTCCCCAGTTCCAATACTCCACTACCCAAAGTCCAAACATTTTAAAAATTGAACTATTACTTTATTTTCATCCTATCATTTAAAAAAGTATAATAACTCGTAAACTGGTAAACATGAATACTATGTATAGAATATTATTTTTTATACTTGTATAGTATATATTATATTATATATACTTATTATATTTTATTCTTATATGAAACCATAGCAATAATATTATTTTATTTTCCATTGTTTTAACATCAATATATTATATTAAATATTTAAATTGGGCAATTCGGTAGGTAACTATTTTATAATAGGTCTACTCTACAAGTATTAGGCACGAACTGAAATAGAATGGACTGGGAACGAAAGCCTAATAACTAATAAGTTATTTATTTATTTAACTAGGTAATAGGTTTTGAATAGGCCTAGGCGAGGGGGGGGGAAATGGGGCAAGTGCGAATCTAGCCTATATATTCGTCCATCTAGTTTATATAATGAATATAGGTAGGTCTGGATCCGCACTTGCCCCATTCTCCATTTCTCCCCCCACCCAGGCCTACTCATAAACCATAAGCTGGCCCACTCTCCCACTAGTTCGTTTCCAGTACATTACTCCATTCTATTGTCCTATGATTCTATATTTCTATCTTAGTATCCGTGGTATTATTATTATAGGTAGGTATATAAAAATAATAATAATTGATAGTTGATACACGAATTTTGTTGATTTTCGTATAGTCAAAATTATACAGAATACCACGCACACAGAATATTCTTTGAAGATTAACTTTCCACAGCCCAGTCGATTTAAGTTAAGAGGACGTCACACCCGCATGTGCTGTTTACGTCTTACGCAGTCTTGTGTATGAACTATGAATCTCTCAATTTTGGTTCTAGAGTAAAAATACCCATTATAAAATTGAATTGTGACAATATTTCTAAGGCCAATTCGTTGCGTTTTTTCCATTATACCCAATAAAACGTTCATTATATTGTTTAAAAATAGCAAGAATTTCAACATTTTTAAAATTTTTAAAAACAACTCATCGTCTTGCCCTCCAAAATATTGTCGTCTTTAAATGTTGCAATAAGTGTTTTTATTCTAACGAAAAATTAAGCAAGTTATACTCATACTGCGAAAACGCGTTTTGTCCAGGCATGTTGTACGTGTGAAAGATGGAGACAACACAGGCGAGTGTGATGTCCTTTTAAAGTATTTTGTTTTCCATATATCCATTATCCATATATAAATGAATTTGAATTGTTATAAGAGTTGCACGTTGTCACCGCAGGCTCGGATCCAGACGATTTTAACAGAGGGTGCTCAAACAAAAAAAGGTGGGCAAGTGGGTGTCTCTCTGCTGTACAGTAGGTTACAATTGGATACAATTGGATCTGTAATGGATATGGATAGTGTTAAATTTGAATTCAATGATACAATACCTTTCATTGTATTATAACAAAAACGATTCTGAACGAAGACAGTCAGTCAGGATATAATATTTCTTAGTATATTTGATGATATTTTTGTGAATAAAACAATTTATTTACCTATTTACGTGGAACTTTGTTTTAAATTGTCAATTCTTGGCTATAAAAACTAAACATTTTATACGTTTGTAACTACAAAATAATTTTAAAATTCAAAATTAGATACTTTTTGTCAAAATTCGAACTCTAAATGCTTTTAAAATAATGTTGCAGTTATGTATTTTAAAAAATTTTCAACTTGTAAATTAAAAATATATCAGGAGCCTTATACTAAATGTTGACGTATTTTGATCCAACAAATGACATTTTATTGACAATTAAGGAAAATAAAATAAAAATGTCCTTAAACAGCTCAAAACAAGTCAAAATATTTTGTACTGTTTATCAAGTATGGGAATTGATAAGTTGTTATATGGTGTAAAATTGAAGTATCTACAGTTATTAGTGTTTGAATTACAATTTACAACAAAATAAGAAAATCGCTACGTGCCTACTGCCTACATGAGAAATCGAGAGAATATCCAATGATGTAAAAATTTAATTTGACTTTCCGGTAGATATTTTTTTTTGATAAAGGCAGACATACCTATGAGAAATCTTGTATTAAATTTTCTATGTTAGATTTAAAAACAACATTTTTATGTTTTTCTAACTCAAAAAATGTTTGCACATTTTCGTGATTTTTAATTAGTTTGTCAACATTTGAACTTAAATACTTATAAGTTATAAGAAATAATTGTGACTGTATATTTAATATTTTTCAAATGTCATTGTAACAATATTTTAAGAGCCTTGTATCAAATTTCCAAGCATTTTTACACAACAAATAAAATTTTAATGGCAATCATAGAAAAAAAACCAAAAAAATTAAAAGTTATTATGTCACAGTAAACAGCTCATAACAAGTTAAAATATTTTGATCGTGTGAATTTGATCGTGTACAGAAATTAATGCTAATATGTATAAACATTCAGTGAAAATTTCATGTATCCACGGTTATTTTTTTTAGAGTAGGTACACCAAAAACCAAAATTGATTTTGTCGTAAACTGATTAAAAATTCCCCTTTTTTCATAATTTTTATTTTGTTATTCTAGCCTCTAGGCGCTTTTAAAATTATTGGAATTTTAAATTTTGACCTTCTGAATGAAGTATGAACCAACTATATTCACCTTCCTTCCTTCCCATCGTTCATGATACCTTTTTTATAGGTAGGTACTTTTTAAGAAAATCGAAGCAGTTGTACACTTGTACTGTCTCAAATACGGTGATGACAGAAACAAAACAAAAAAAATAGTTACAAGTTTCTATTTGAGAATTTTCAATTTTCAATACAAATGTATTTTAATAATTAATAGTGGCTTAGAGTGCCATAGACGACAGGGGGTGCCACAGCACCCATAGCCCCCCCCCCTGAATCCGCTCTTAGTGATAGAAAATATATAACTATTATAACTATATACTATAGTTAATTAGTTTATGATGGGTACGCCGTACACAATACCTACGGTCTACGGACAATAGTCAATAAATCTTTATCATATTATATGTAATATTTAATTATGTGAATACGTTTGATAGTTGGATCTTGGATAATAAATTAATACCATAGGCCTATAAACTAACGGACATCGCATAGAAAGATAAATCACCAGACGGGATTGTTGAGAGAGAAAAGAGAGGTTTTGGGCCGTTACACTAAACATATAACCCAAAACATGTTTTTTCTCTTTCATGCTTATAATGTCTATGTTATGTTTTCTCTCTCAGTTAGGTCTATGGATACAGTCCCGATAATACCTATTATTCCTTTTCTACTTGTTTTCCCGCCATTATTGACATAATAATATTATGTTGATTGTAATAAACTGATAACGTTAGTTTGTTGGTTGTTACTAATTATTATAGTAATTATTATAGTTAGTAATTGTTATTTCTATTTTCTTATGTTATTTTCGATAAACCCATTCCGGCATGAATCTATAGGAACATACCGTTTTTGATACTTTTAGTTTCGACAGGTTAAACATATTTAAAATAGAAGATTTCGACGTTGTTGTTTTGATTTGGTTTTTTAATTCGTACTGCAGTTGAAAATTGCTTTAAAATATTATTCTATACAGTTCCTAAACATTTATTATAAATTGACACTATGAAACTTATCAATATATCGTACATTGGCAATTGTACATATTATGTAATTTCAAACAGTGATTGAGTCTTAGCTTCATAAAATAAAAAATGAATAATTTTGAACACGAAAATCCCGGTCAGAGCATATTTCAGGGCTCTGATTTGGCCAGTATTCAGGTGAACAATAACTTCCAAGATGACAATGAAGATCATTTGGATGTACAGAGACTCGATCAAGAGGTACAATTATTTTAAATTATTGGTTCCCATCATCTTTCCAGTTTTTGTAAGCTTTTGTACCCACTGCTTATATATTTTGTAAAATTATTATACCTAGGCTGTTATTTAATATTTTAAATGATTATTTACATTATTTTTAGTTGTAGGTAATTGTGTAAAATACAATCAAAGATCAAACACTTTGTGTTTCACAAATTAGAAAATCCTTATCAAATTAGCAAAAGTAATAGTATGTTAAATTTTATGACAGGTTTGTCAAATTTTAAATTTACCTATATGCCTTGGAAATCCACTGAATATGGGAATATCGCGACTAGTAAAAAGTCTTAAATATGTACTACCTACAAATTAATGTTAGTATATTATATTATAACATTAAAACACTCCTTAAATATAATAGGTACTATCTATACTGAATTTTTATATAGAAAAATTACTGGAATATAAAAATCTAAAACTGAGTCTAAAATATTAATATTTACCTATATTTGGTATCTCCACCATTTATGTTACATGGTAGGTAGTAACTATAATATGTTGTCTATCTATGAACATTGTATCAGTGTCAGATTAAAACAAAACGGCAGAATAGGAGAAGATTTTGATGTTAAATTAGATAAAACACTTAGTTATACCGAGTATAATTTAATATGTATTAACAAAATAATTTTAATATAGTATATTTTACTTTATCAATGACTTGGTGTCTGGTAGCATAACACGGAACAAAGGTAAGACACAGGTAAAACAAAACTATTTTGGCACGTGTAGCAGTCCTGAGAATTAGTCAGTGTTGGGGAAGTTACTTATTTTTGGTAATTAAATTACATTACTAATTACTTATCAAAATTGTAACTAAATTATTTTTAAGTTACTTTTTTTTAATATGGTTAAGTTACATTACTTTTGAGTTTAAAAAGTAACTGAATTACAATAGAAGTTACTTTTTTTCAAAAATATCACTGGAGCTTAATAATCATGTTGTCAATATAACAATACATAAACTCAATAGGTAATACCAATCAAAAATGTGAAATTATTAGCAGATACTCATTTTGCTACACTATTATTATTATTATTATTTTTATTGAACTTAAGCCCGGAAACTATGGCCATGAGCTGTTGTAGGGGATTATAAACTGTGGTTGGTAAATTTGGTATGGTAAGGTGTTGTTACCAGGGGCGGACTGGGCCGGCGGGATACCGGGAACTTTCCCGGTGGGCCGCTACTCAAAAATAATTAGTTACCTATTATTATTTATTTATAACAAAATCAGTAGGTATAAATATAAATTATAAATATTTTGTATTTTCATATCATAACTGTTGAGTGTGCAAAATGTTTATATTATATTTGGTGTTAAAGATTTCGTTAGTGATTTCGGTTCAGCTGGTTGACCAGCCCCTCGGCATCAATGCATAAACAGAAATTATTATTTATAACTACTAGGGTGTGAATTTGAAGATAAATTGCATTTTTTTCTGGATTCTCTTAAACATTGCTTTCCAATCAAAAAATGTATTTCATACATAAAATAATTTAAAAATTAAATTTTTATTTAGCATTTTTTTAACTTTACTGATTTATAGAACATTTTTTTGACGTTTTTATGACATTTTTATCGTTTGAAGGAATTTTTCGTAAATTTTATAAGTATATATACAAATATACAATTTTATAAACACTATTAGCTTAAGTTCCTTCAAGAAATTTAATATAATTAAAAATTATTTTTTCTTACTAATATTTCTATTTTATTACGTTTTATTTTATTTTGTTTGCTCCTATGACTTCAGTTATACAAAACAACACTTGCCAATTCTCAAACTGTCAAAGTTTTTTTATTCAAAAATATTGATTAGCTTCTGATTGAAAAGTGATTATAATGAAACACAATATATGACGACTAACGACTAATGACTATACCTATTTAAGTTCTATTTTATTTTCATTTAAATTGGCTTTTCATTTTTCTGGGCATTTTACTAAGCTTTGTAATATTGTTACTGTGCATAAAATCGTATTTTTAAGGCATTGTTTTTTTTATTGTATTTATATCCATGCCCTATTTTTAACTTAATATGACTTTATTCTACAGTCGATATTAATATATCCACTTCTAGCCAGCCAGTATTTACTAATTATAACTAACATTAAATTGTACACAATAAAAAATATAATATAAATATATTGTACCTACATAATAGTAAAATATAAAAGATAATTTGTGATAATTTGATGGGAATTAATAACTAAAGGTACAGTTTCGTACGTTCCATGTAACGTCCTTAATTCAAAAAAGTGAATTCTTGAACTTCTTTTTTATTTTATTGTAGTGTACTAGTGTATCGTTTGATGATTTTGTAATATTTACTTATCTATTTGTTGTTTAAAATGGAAACTAAAAGAAAGAGTGGGGTTGAAAAAATCAGAGAGAGAGAGAGAAGGATACTCTTAGAAAAATCAAGTTAAAGTAGTTTAAACGAACCTATTTTTTTCATCCGTTATGGATCACTTATAGAGTAGGTAATAGAAAAAGTGATATATGCATAATACTGTGCAGTACATTTAATTAAGATAAAATACTAAATAGGTACATTGAGAATCTTAAGTTGTCTCCTGAGGAAATTAAAAATGAGTAGGTGGAGGATGCAACCATTATTTGTCATAACTTTGGTACCATATTTAAGTCTTACATTTAGTGATGACGACATTTTAAGGGCCGGTCAAAATATAAATTTCCCGGGCCGAATAGTTGCCCCAGTCCGTCCCTGGTTGTTACGGTATGTATGTAAACACGTGTGTCGTGTAAGTGTGGCAAGGTTTTTACTACTACGAATCCGGGTGGTCACCCATCCGGGAACTAGTAGCAGCGGGCGCAACTTACTCTCAGTCGTATTGCCACACATTTATTTATTAATTATTTTTTTTTTTATATTAACTAACCCGCAGCAATTGGGTGGTTTTTAACTGAGATGGAGGGTACGGACGTACGGTAGGTTTTTGTAAACACGTGTGTTTTAGCTTGAAAGAATTTCAAATTGGGCACCTGTAGACTGTAGTCTGCCCGTTACCGAGATTCCAACCAGCTACGGTGCGCGTTGCCACCAACGCCTTAGTCCGCTCGGCTACTCCGTCTCCCTCACTTTTATTATTATTACTATTTATTGATAGTTCCAACAATGCTGTATACGCAGACGCTGACGCCGTGAGCCGTCCGCGACGATACAACACAGAGTACAGAGTAAAGATAAGAATTCCATTCTAAAAGTAACACTTTATAGTCGAACTGTCAATAGGCAATAGCTATAACAAAAATAGTACCTACAGTTCATACAATTTTACCTATAAATTAAAATACTAATAAGTTATATTATGATTTATGATATATTTTAATATTTACCTACACACAATATTATCAATAGGTACGTTCTAAAAAATGTATTAATCCAAAAAAAAGTTACGAGTAATTTAGTAAAAATTACTACAAAAAAGTAACTTAAATTACATATAAATTACTTACAATAAAATGTAATTAAATTACCATCAAATTACTTAAAAAGTAATTTCGTTACAGTAACTTGTAACTTAAGTTAAGTTACTCCCCAACACTGGAATTAGTATTATACATTTTGTAAAGTAATAAAAATATAGTTATAATAAAGGATGGCAGGACTTTGTGATAATACAGAACAAATATTCCTAAGATGACACATGTGTTTTTGATATATATATTATGTATAATCGGCATAATACTAAGTAATAACATATTGATACTGTAATGGTGTGAATCACCATAAAAATATATTTTTTAATGTAAAAATAATTTTTAACGCAATGAATCTTAAAATGCAACAATGTTAAAATAATAGTATCTAGAATTTTTTAATGTATATAGCTACTTCTAAAAAAGTTAAAATGTTTAATTTTGTTTCAGCTCAAAATAGAATTGGATGAAGTTTTTAATGAAAGTGGAGCTAATATGAGTGTTATTAGTTCAAGCCATTGTAGTGATGCTTCTGGAGAGGGTAATTTAAAATATTTTTTTGGGCATTATAATTAATGCCTTAGTCAATAATTTATTTAATTACTAATTAAGTACCTACCTATATAAATTAATTATTTGTGGTCTTAGTTACAGGTAAGGACACAATTTGATACTTTGTATTAAAATTATCTAAATTTGTAAAAAAACATTTGATATGTTGAAGCAATTGATTAATCAAATAAAATTATCTATAATTCATATTTTTAAAATAGTTTTTGTTAATATTCTGTATGCCTATATTCTGTTACTTGGCAACCGTGTCTAATACATTATTCTTCACTACAATTGAAATACATATTTATGGCATTGTGAATCATATTTTTCAGAGCTGGAAAGTAATGGAAGTCTCTCTGAATCTATTCACAAAACAAAGAGAAAAAAAGCATCAATACTTTCTAACCCAGCCTTTCAACACTTACAACATTATATGAATACAAATTTTCAACCTGATTTCCATAGAGATGGTAATATAATAAATAACAATCACTTATTGATTTAATAATATACTGATAATTCATTTATTTGTAATTCTAGGCTCGTATCCATCACCTATACCACAATACAATCCTCAAGTTAACAATGATAAACATATCACATCTAATGATGCTGCACAAAATGTTAGCAAACAGTATGTTTATGAAGGTAACATAATTTAAATATTTCTTAAACATATAAGACAAATATACTACAAATTTCAATCCTCTTTTGTCCAATGTTCATTACTATAAACACAAAATTGCACTTACATAGAATAATAACATCAATAAATTATTGTCTCACAAAGAACAATAATAATGTGTTATTAATGAGTTGCAATGAACTTATCACAATGTTAATTACATTTTTATAATTATTGAATTCTTATAATATGTAGGGCTGTAGGCATAGTCTTATACTTAAGGTGCACATAAAATCACGTAGGTAATACCTAACTAAACTATGGATAACCTAAGTGATACCTAGCAGCAACTTAATTTTTGGCTGCATAGTTGACATTTAAGTAGCCCATAGTTAGGTATTACTTTAATATTATAAGTTAAGTATTACTGAAATTAAATGGTTAATGACATTTTATATTTATTATTAAAAGGTTGGGTGTCGTTACTGATACAATATTGAGTGGAGCTTTGTTAAGACTCTACAGGCAGAAGTTTGAGGGGGCTATGGAGGCTTGGCCACCCAATGTTTTAATCATATTTTAGTTAAAAATATAAATTTTGTAATTTATTTTTAAAAAAGTTACTATATTTATATCGCCCTACTTTTTGAATATAAAAGTAACGTATCATGATAATGTCGGATAATGAAAATGTAGTTTAAATAAAAATATTTAATGTAACAAGTAACGTAATTTTATTTTATTTTTTATTTTTTATTTTCAAAAGTTATCCAACACTGCTATTAGATTTAAATAAAATATCAACCAATTGATATTTAATTTTAATGTTTATAATTTTCTTTTTTTTTAGGAATGTCAAATGAAGCTAATTATGAAACTTTGCAAGCTCTGTATGAAATGAGGCGTAGTGAAGTAAATAGATTACAAAAAGAATTTTCTGAATTTAAAATGCAAGCAGAAGCAGAAATTGATAATCTTCGTAAAAATTTGTTAATCAATGAATCTGAAGGTCAAAGAACAGTCGTGGAATATCAGCGTCAGTGTGGTAATTTATAAATAATGACTATACAAAACAATTATTACATGTTAACTACGGATAAGATCTTATCTACTAAATAACCATGATGTTTAATATGAGTGTAAAAACTATTATTTATTACACTATTAGAATTGATTGCAATTTACGAATTTACACAAAAAAAAAAATAATATTTTATGTTATTGGAAGCTCTTGCATACAATTTTTAAATTGTATTTATATAATCAATATGTATTTATGTACGTTATAAGTGTTATAACATAAAAACTCTCTCTGCTGAATAGGTATTGAGGTTTGTTGATGTTGAGTAGTAAACCTCATCATTGAGTAGGTATCTATAATGAATATTTTAAATTTGAATACAATGATTAATCATTGCATACAAAAATTAATTATGAGCGGAGGCAGTCTATCAACCAATATTACTAAGTATATTTTATGATATATTTAAATTTCTACAAATTAATTAATTTTACTATTGGTTATACGATAGGTTGAACTAATTTTTGCCAAAAACTGCATTTATTTTACCTTTTAGTAATTGTATTTAATTATTATAATAAGAATAAGTATAATGATATCATTTTTGTTTGAAAAATCTGAGTGAGTTTCCATGATTTTTTTGCATTATTTATGCCAATTATTCAATGAAACTTATGTCTAATGATAACATAGACTAACTTCTACTCTAACTTAAGTTACTATTTTCACCAAGCTAACTTCTAACTAAGTTAGAAATTTGGACAGTTTCAAAAACTAACTTATATTCTAACTTAGTTAAGTAACTTAACTTCAACTAGTTGAAAAAAAATGACTAACTTGCCCAGCTTTGGCCTGGATACCATATTCGCCCATTTAAGAGGACTCTACACAGCAATTTTTTGTCTTCGTCTTACAAGTGGGTAACATAGCAAATTTAAGTTCAGCAGATCACGTTTAACTCAGTTAGTTAAAAATTAGTCTGAATCGACCTATTATGAAACTTGATGGTAACTACATTATCCGTGTTTGTACATGGGCTTATAACAATAATTCAGTTTTTAAGTGAGTTATGAGCATTTTTAATTTACACAATATTATTTATAACTTATTTATTCATAACTTATTAAATTATTAACTATCTTAAAAAACTCAGATAAAAACACAGATAATGTTCTTACCATCAAGTTCCATAATAGGTGGATTCACACTAATTTTTAACTAACCGAGTTAAACGTGATCTGCTGAACGTAAATTTGCTATGTTATGCACTTGTAAGACAGAGACAACAAATATCTGTGTAGCGTCCTCTTAATTAGGGATTATTGATGAGCAAAAAAGTGTTAATGTTGGTATGTCAATTAAATATTTGTATTATAAATGTATTTAGTTGTCGTAATCGAGAATTTATATTGAGTAATTTAGGTTTAATTTTCTGAGCCCAGATTAGTTTACGGTCTTGATTTAACCCAAGATAACTGTTTGTGAGATAATAATTTGAGTGCCATAGATGAGTATTTATAAATAAATATTAATTGGACTCTTTAAAAAGTGATTTTTGTGTAAGATAAGTTTTATTATTAGTCTTGTTCCAATAAGTTTCAAACGATTTATGATAATATTATTGAAGTGACCACTATTTTGAATAGTTTTGATTTTTTTTTATATATATTTGATGTCATTGCAAAACAAAATTTTTGAAAAAAAAAAATGTATTATTACAATTTTTATTGTTGATCATTTTTAAGTTATTACTTTTTTGATTGACTCTTTCAATTTTTAATTTCAAATTTTTTTTTTAGTTTAAAACCATAATTATAATACTTGTATTTATTTAATTAATTAATTACACCCACTTAAAAATGATAAAAAAATGTGTGTAAGTTTAGCTATTTTATCTTATATTGTCTCATAATAAATAATACAATGTTTTTATTTTGCTTAGAAAATCTTAAAGAAAATATTGAACATTTGGAAAATCAAAACTTAACTTTGAAACTTAATGTAGAAACAAAAGATACAATAAATTCCAAGGTTGATTATTTAAAAATTTATAAATTGATTATATGTTTATAGTCCTGCTTAAAGTTATTTAATATTGATTATAGCTAACTAAAGAGCTGGAAACAATTCAAATTAATATGAAAACTCTTGAAGAACAACTTACTAACCTCTCACGTAATAATGGTTCAAGGCAATATGATACAAATGTGGACTGTATTGTAAACGATTTGAAAAAAAAGCATAAACAAGAAGTAGTTAATTTACAGAACCAATACAAAAGTGTTTTAGAACAAATACGTTTTAAAGTAAGTTAGTTGTATGGTTAAAAATGTATTACTTTATTTAGTATTGTATTTTTTGTAGGACCGTCATTGTACATTGTTAACAAACGAGCTAAAAAAACTGCAACAAGAACACCATCGCATTATATCAGAAAATAATGATTTGATTTGTAATCTAAAAAAAGAATTAAATGCAGCACAACAAAATAAACTATCAATTTCCAATAACTATGATCACATTTTAAATTTAAACAGTCAACTTATTGAATGTTCCAAACAAAATCAACAGTTAAATAATACATTACAAAGGTTAACAGTAAGTAAAAATAAGTTGTTAAATAATAATTAATAATATAAATTTTACTCTTAAGTTTTTGTGCTTAGGTTGAAAATGAGAAACTTCATACTAATTTGAATGGTTCACATGTTAGCAATGACTTACATAATATTAATGATGGAAGTCTATTAGAAGAAGATTATCAGAAGAGTTTAGAATTGTTACAAAAACAAAGAGACGATGTAAAAAATTTAACAGAAATGTTAAATGTTAAAAATAGAAGTATTGCTGAATTGGAAAAGAAAGAAATAACATACCAACATTGTATTCGTAAAATACAGGTACAAGTACAGTTAATATTATGGTTTACCCAAATAAATTACCTCAATTAAAATTAAAATATATGTATACTATTTATATATTATTATAATTATTTATAATAATATAAATTAATATGTTTCAGTTAGAATTAGAGAAATATTCTCGCGATAAAAGCCAAATTGGTGAACATTCTAATTATTGTGAAACACTTCGAAATGCTTTAGAATTGCAACTAGAAGATACCATGTGTAAGTTAATTCGAACAGAAGAAATGGCTACACTTTCAAAACAAATGATTGATGATAAGCTAATAAACAATAATTCAATTGAAGAATATATGCATTACCATCAATCATCATTGGAAAATATTTCAAAGCAAAAGGATGAAGAAATAGAGAAACTTAAGTATGTTTCAGAGTTATATAAAGGATACATTTTTTAAACGTAAAACTAACTATATAAAAAATAAAAATAATAGAACTCTTGATCTTATATTTACTGATATCCAAAATTCAACCGTTTTCAAAGGATGCTCCTTAGTTCCTTTGACTGATGATCACCATCTTCTATTAGACTTTACTTGTAACCTTGATCACTTATTCATTGTTAAAAGTAGTAATGACTTACCTTTTTATAATTTTATTAAATGCGATTTTTCAAGGTTATAAACATTGATTTTAATCAATCATTAAGTATCGATTTCGCCTTAAATAAATTCTATGATATTATAAATCATTTTATTGAATTGTATGTCCCAAAATGCAGAGTATTTAATTATCAAAATCCCGTTTAGTGTAATCCAGAATTACGTAGACTTGTCAACTTAAAAAAATTAGCACATAAAAAATATAAAATTAGTGAGGTACAATCCGATTATATAGGTAGAGTTTTCGAACCTTATTAAAGAATGTAATATATTGTCGTTACTTTGTAATTCCAATTCCATTCTTAAATAAGAAAATTAGATTTTTACTAATATCAAACCATTTTGGAATTACATTAAAAAGCTTAAATCTAATAAATCTCCTATTCCTGAAAATATGTCATATAATAATATTACTATCAGTAGTTTTGATGAGTTCCATGAGCTCAATTATTCGCTCAATTTTTTCCCAGTGTCTCACCTTCTGCCTTACATACTATACTCTTTTTCACATAAGAATGAACCGCTTTAGTGCATGCAGACTGAGCCACAGAACAGTGCCTGACCCCCAGGCGATGGCTATGCGTTCTGTGATTGGTCGACAGTCATCGCCGGCCGTTGATCGTCGACGCCAGTACTGCTCACCTTGCATACGCTCCCACCGTTATCCGGAATGCACAAACAAAACGAGTTTTTGTCTTCCGAGCGGTTCATTCTTATGTGAAAAAGAGTATAATATGAATAAGAGTTATGACACTGCAAATATAAATTCTAATTTAAATCTATCTTCATGGTATATTAGTGAGGAAGAAATTGTTGATGCTTTGCATTCGTTTAACACAATATATAGTAGTGTCAGTGTGGGTCCTGATGATGTGCTTCTATTATATTAAAGGAATGCAAAAGTATCATTACTAAACCACTGCATAAACTATTTAATATGTCTCCGTCAAGGGCACCTTTCCAATATGTTGGAAAAAATCTTATATTGTTCCTATTTTTAAAAGTGGCAATAAGAGTAATGTTATTAACTAAAGACAAATTTCTAAATTGTCAATTATCCCAAAACTATTTGAGTCTATTATTACGAAAAAGCTTTCTAAATTATTGTCTAATTATATCTGTCTTAACCAACATGGTTTTCGCCTAAAAAATCTGTTTTCATGAACTTACTCACTCATCAGTCATCACACTGATTTAATCCCATCACACTAATCCCATCTATTGAAAACGGATGTTAAATTGATACAGTTTAAACTGATTTTAGTAAAGCTTTTGATAGAGTAAACTATAATTTGCTAATAATGAAGCTTCAAAGATTTTATCTGCACAGTAATTTCCCTAAGAGAAAACGCCACACCCGCATGTGTTGTCTCCGTCTTACAAACACGTAACATACCAAATTTACACACAGAAATTCAAGTTTTATGCCGTTAGCCTAAAAATTAGAGTGAAGCGGTCGTATTATGAAACTTGGTGGTAAGAACATTATCTGTGTTTTGTTGGAAGTTTTTTTACGATAATTTAGTTTTTAAGTGAGTTATGAGCATTTTTAATTTACATTTATTATACACGCTATAACTCACTTAAAAACTGAATTATCGTAAAAAAAACTTCCAACAAAACACAGATAATGTTCTTACCATAGTTAAATTTATATCTTATTGATAGGAACCAGTCAGTTAAATTATCACATTCAATTTCAAAAGTTATTCATGTTTGGTCTAGAGTACCTCAAGGCTCGCAGTTGAGGCCTTTATTGTTCATTCTCTTCATTAATGACCTACCATCTGTTTTTCATATGTCAGTTAATATGTTAATATTCACCAATGACACTTTTATAATTTATTCAATTATTAATAATCAGAACGATGCAATTAATCTCCTAGAGAGTTTAGATAGGTTTACCACATGGTGTCACGAAAATGTATTAAGAGTAAATATTAATAAATGCAATGCTATCTTTTTATTAAAATAAATATCCTTTAGTTTTTAATAATATTATTATAAATCGAGTGGATTCAGTTAGGAATTTGAATGTTCTTTTTTCCTGTACTTTTCTTTTTTTTTTAATACTAACATAGTTAATAAAGCATTTAAAATGCTTGGTTTTATATTATAGAATACTAGATAATTTAAAAGTATTCAAGCATTAAAAACGCTTTATTGCTCCCTTGTTAGATCTAATTTAAAGTTTGGATCATAATTCGACCGATAAACTAGTTGACAATGTTCAATGTAAATTCCTAAAATCAATTTCTTTCCGTTTAAATTTACAGTTCTCTAGAGACTCAATGTCATTAGTAGCAGACTATATTTATATTCAACTATGTGAGAAGATTAAACATAAGCTATCTTATTTATTTATGATCTCGCTAATTTGTAATGATGTGGTTTTTTTTTATGTCTCGTGAATGTATTAGAACGAAAGCTTTGTCTTTATTTTCAAATTGAAACCATTTATTATAACTTTCACAATATTTTGTTCAGTACCTACTTAAATTAAACCAAAATTATATATTGTATAAATTATTATTTTTTGGTTTTGGCTGTTTAGATTACTATTATATATTTCTTTGTTAAAGGCCTTGTCCCGTAAAATTATTTAAAAATACTAATTTTAATGTTTATATCTGAAATTTATAGAAATCGAATGGAAGAATATGTAAAAGAAATTGATGAACTAAAACAACTCTATGTTAAAGTATGTTCAGAGAAGGAACATAGTTTAAATGAAAAAGAAAGATTAGAAAAACGTTTTTGTGAATTATCTTCTCAATTTGAAACACTAGATAAACAATATGGTTCCATAGTGAAAGGTATGTATTAATTGTTATTTGAATAACATTGGAATTCAAAATCTTAAATTTTTGTAGAAAAAGAAGAATTGGCTATCACTTTAACTGGTATTAAAAAAGAAATGAGTGCTGATCAAGATTCTTTTCAAAAACAATCAGTAAGCTTTTAAATTATTAGTTTTATCAAATAGAAGATATTAAATTTGATCACCATTTAGGTATCAATATGCATTTAACATTTAACAAAATGGTTTGGTTTTTTTAAGTTGATAAAAGAAATTGAAGATTTAAAAAATGAGTTATTGGTGCATAAACGTCAAAAAGAGATGATTGCTAAATTAAAAATTGATTTGATTCAATCTAAAGAAAGAGTATTGTCCTTAGAACAACGATTACAATCAGAGTGTGATTCGAAAGTGGCTACTTATTTTGAACAGTTAGAAAATTTAAAAAAACAGTATGAAGAAAAGGTAACAAAATATAGTAATAAATTTGTATTCATGCTTCACATGTATTTAAAATTCAAAGTTGTGTTAAATTGTTAAATATGTTTTAAAACATTTAGGTTGATGAATTAAAACAAGCAAAAGATATAATTTGTAAGTTGACCAATTCTGATTTACAAACGTCTTCTAAAGTAAACAATGATGAAAAAACTTTAAGGTCAAAATTGTCAGATTATGAAAATTCATTATCTAATATTGAAAGGAAACACAAACTTGCAATGAATGAAATGACATTCAAATATAAAAATGAATTAGATGAGTTGGAGATGATTTACAATAAAAAATTTAGTATGTACAAAATTCAAAATTATTAAAAAAAGTTAAATTAAAAGTTTCAAAATTGTATTATCACTATTTAGATGAGGAAAAAGTTGCATGTGGTAAAATAATTGAAGAGCTTAAGAGTAAACATAAAATTGAAATAGAAACATTGAACACTGTAGCAAAACAGAATGCAGGCGACTATGCAAACCAGGAAATGATACAAATTGTTGCTCATCATAAACAGCAGTTTGAAAAAGCTAGAGAGATTGTAACATTAAAAAACAACCTCGTGAGAATACATTTGCCTAATGTTAATTTTTTACCTCCATGTTTTGAAAATAATTCAATATGCTTTATAAAATAGATAAAAGAACTTGAAATTAAATTGGAAAACGCCAAGACAGAAATTTTAAATCATGCTCGTCAGTATGAACAATTTAAAGAAATGCACTCTAGTTCAACAAATATAAATAAGCTCAAACAACAAATTGAAGAGGAAAGGTCAAAATTTGCACAAATAATGACCAATTGGTCCCAAGAGGTGACTTAAACTATAATATATAATAGTGAATTTGTATACTTTATAGTATTGTGTTTATTCTTTATATTATAAACTTTTAAATATATTGGAATTATATTTTGGAGAATACTGTTAATTATTATATTCTATGTTTTAATTAGATGCGCCAAATGAAAGATAAATTATCTACAACAGTATCCGAATGGGAAAAGTTACAGGCAAAGTATGCCAAAGTAAAACATGCTGCATTGGGTTATAAACATGCCAACCAAAAACAACATCAAGTTTACAATGAATTATTGGTAAATTGTGTTCGTTTCCTAGATGAACTCAAAACTAAAACTGATGAGCTTTTGACACACAGAGAAAATGAAATCCAACAAGCACTTGAGGAATTTGAAAATGATTGCAAACAAAGACGTTTAGCATTCAGTAATGTTAATAAATTATCAAGTTTTAACACTAGTTGATCTTCTGTGAAAACAGTCATTCTGTATAAATGATTTTGTATGTTTTTTTATTTACTAACCTTTATGTTAATATTTTTTTTAATATAACATTTTTATAATTATTTTTATTTAAAATTATTTTTTTTTTAATTTTATAAATAAAATAAAATTTTCAATGTCGTTTAAACACAAAAAAAAAGTAGGTTTCAATTGTTCTTAGTCATTGGTAGGTCATAGGTCATTATAATGGATGTGTTAAATTTAAATTTAACAATCAATGTAAAATCACATACAAAAAAACATTTCAGAGTAGAGAAGTGTTAAGTACTATTTGTATTTTGTAAGAATATTTTAAAATTAACTTACAAATATAAAATAAGTACTATTGGCAATTTATTTTCTTATTCATGGTACGATGTGTGTGGCTAAATTTTTCCAATTTTTTAATTTATAATATATCATTAATTTTTCTAATATTATCTCTAGTCGATTGCACGTATAGGTACCATCAGTGTTGGGTAGTAACGTAATACAAATTACAAATTACTTATGCAGTATCGCTGTAGTAATTTCATTATATTTTAATTAAATTAACACAATTGTAACAAAATTACTTTTTAAAGTAATTTCTATGGAGTAACGTGTTATTTTCCACGTTATTAAAATAAGTTATGAATGTATGACAAAAACTAGAGAGGCTAGGAAATTTGAGAAAAATTAAAAATCAATCAAATTTATTTACGATCCCGATATTTTTTTTTAATAAATAATAATCGACAATCTTATTATTTATTAAAGTTCCCAGGAATTAATATTTATATATTTTGGTCTTGTATAACATTAAGCAAAACCTTAATAAACCTTGATGCCCAGCATATATTTCAGTACCTACCCTCATAATACCGACCGGTATATCGGTCGTTATTTATATTTGTCAGCAATTAACTTACGTACGCGCAGGCATTGACGGAGATTTTAAATTACGATAAACTTTTTTCAATTTAAAATAAGCGGTTTTTAGACCTATAGACTATAAGCTAGACAAAACTGGAGGAATTTTAATTTTGAAAACGGATTATGATTGACGGTTAAGCCAGATGCGATTTTTAATATTCCAATTATTGTTAGTGTCATGAATCATGATGAATACTATAAATACAAAGATATCATATTTTTTTTTTTTGGATATCACAGCTGAAAAAATAAATATTCAAAATCGCCTCTGTCATAACCTACTAACCTGGTAAATTTGTCAATCAATCATATCCAGTGCCCGAATTGGGGGGGGAGGGTGCGCAGGGGGAGGGAGCTCTCCTGCTATTTTTATTTATTTGGACGGGGGGACGGTACAGACTAATGTCTGAAATAATTTTTATTAAAATGTGAATTTTAATTGATGTCAATCATATTATAACGAGTTTTACTATTTCATATCAAATTTTTTTTCGACAAGAGCTTAATAATTAATTATAATATCACCCTGTATTTGCCTATATAGTCAATAGTTCACAGATCATATACAAGTGTATTACCTAAGGCACAGATACTGGTGTGTGATAGTAATATAGAAATATAGAAATCGTGTTCCAACTGAAATGTTATCAGTTTCAGTTATGGTATCATCAGTGTTTTTGAATTTTTGAATTTTTTTATACTTACCAAAATATGTAGTCTCTTTTGAATCAAAAACAATAACTATTAATTTTGTTATATCTACATTATAGTATATTAAATAACCAGGTACCTAGATTATTATAAATTTTTTTTTTCTACTGTAACAATGTAAGATGTAGATATTGCTATTATACTATATTATACCTACCTATTTGGAATTCAAAATGTGTTGTTGTAAAGTGGTATTCAAAATGTATGTAGGTAGGATCTTGCGGTAAAGCACGATTGAGCATAAAACGATTGAGCATAGACCTTTTTAGCAACACTATTGAGCATAGTTTATTTTATGCGATGTTGCCACATTCACGTTGCCAACATTTTGTAATTTATTATTTTCTCGTATTATTACACCAATTATTATGATATCTGACGCGAGCCGTGAGCTTTATCGACTTTATCAATTTTATCGACAATGTTATCGATTAATAAATTAGTTCCGGAGCAAAACGACGTTTTAAACATTTAGCATCGGGAGAAAATATAAGATAATTAAGATACAAATCCAAAATTATTATAGAAATAATATCAGTGTTCGATCACCTGTATAGTGTATAGTGCGTGTATACTTAGTGCGTTTTTCTATTTTTTTTAAATATGGATATAACAATTATTTTATCGGAAAGAGGCAAAGAATTGGCCCTAGTTAATTTATACAAGTATAAATTAATGTTATATTTTGTTATGTTATATTTCATGTTATATTTTGAAATATTATAATTATTTAAATAAATGTTTTTATACGATACAGTTCAAAATTGAAAATGGCAACGTTGCAGAGTTTTTTATGCTCAATCGTGTTGGTTTTCTTTTGTATTTCAATTTCCTTTGATACGCCGACAATATATGCTCAATCGTGTCGCAAAAAAGGTGTTTTATGCTCAATCGTGTCGCAGCCGGATCTTGGAGGGTGTCGGGGGCAAAGCCCTCCAGAGGTTGGTTTTGAGTAATTTCGCCCATAGAACGCAGTTTTTAAACCGTTGGCGGTTGGATTGAGCTCCTCTACTTATTTTTTCCCAATTCGAGCACTGATCATAATCCTTTTTTAAAAATAAAATCCGTCAAACCAAATTCCTCCAGTTTTGTCTAGCTTATTGGTCTAAAGGGGGGTTCACACTACACCGTGTCGTGTAAAATAATCACGGTTACCACAGTTACCAAACGATACCGCATAGTTGAATATATTCAACTTTTGACCGTGTGGTTACATTTATGTGCAGATAAAGCCGGGTTCATACTTAATGTAACCACACGGTCAAAAGTTGAATATATTCAACTATGCGGTATCGTTTGGTAACTGAGGTAACCGTGATTATATTACACGACACGGTGTAGTGTGAACCCGCCTTAAAAGTCACCTTTTTTTCATCAACTGGAGCCCCCTTAACTTCAACTAGTTGAAAAAAATGATTAACTTGCCCAGCTTTGTGTAAGATTGCCATTGATAACACAATTAAAATAAAAATTTTTTTTTTTTGTATGAAATATCCGGCCTACCATGCGTTACTATGAGATTTTTCTTTTCTATATATATAAAAATGAATGTATGTCAGTGTGTGTGTCTGTGTGTCCATGTTACCATGGTTACCAAGGTTGCCATGGTTACTAAGGTTACTAAGGTTTCATGGTTACCAATGTTACCATGGTTACCAAGGTTGCCATGGTTACTAAGGTTACTAAGGTTTAATGGTTATTAAGGTTACCATGATCCATAGTTACCATGGTTACCAAAGTTACCATGGTTACCAAAGGTACCATGGTTACCAATGTTACCATGATTACCAAAGGTACCATGGTTACCATGAGTGTTGTAGCTATTATAATCATAATTATAGGTCTTTAATGGACAACGAAGTGCATGGGATCAGATATTTTATATATATAGTCCGTGTGTGTCCACATTACCATGGCAACCTTTTATATTGTTTTATGTAAAACATATTATTCATATAGAGTTGTCAATTTTAATGGGCAACGTAGTGCTCGGGATCAAATATTTTTATACATATAGATATGTTGGATCTCTGGGCAGAAGATAGGCTAATTTAAAAGGGGAGAGGACCAACACCGGGACGTGCTCAAACAGGGATTTTGAGATTTTTGTTTATATATGGTAACCGCGGGTTTCAAAGCTATAATTATAATAATAATTGGTTTAAAATTGCTGTTATGGTAACCGTTATATTATAAAATAAAACATTTTATTCATATAGAGTTGGTATTTTTAATGGGCAACGAAGTGCACGGGATCAGCTAGTATAAAATAAAACCAGGGGGACGGAGTGGCCGAGCTGTCTAAGGCGTCGCGCGTCGGTTGCAACGCAGCGGATGCCGGCCGATCCCCGGCCGGTGGCGGCATTTTTCTTCGGGCAAGTCACGGTGTCCGGAGAAGAAGTGCCGCCATCCCCCCACCCGATCATGGCAGATACCTACAGGTGCCCACTAAAAAAATCTGATAAACACACACGTGTTCCATCCCCCTACGTTCCACAGGCTAATAACCACAGTAGTTGAAGCCCCTTCCAACCAAAAAAAATAAAAAAAATAAAACCGTACTGAAATATTGTTTGTTATTCAAATGGTACCTATGACAACTATATAAAATAATAAATATTAACTTCTAGTATTTATTTCTCCTATAACCGCAATAGCAACCTTTTATAAACAAAAATTTCCAACGTAAATCTCAAAATTCCTATTTGAGCACCTCCTCGGGTTGGACTTATATGGTCAAATTGTGAATCCAAACCATCCAGGGAACCACTCAAACAATTTCATCAACATCGTCCCAACTGTTCTCAATTGATTAATAATTACTATACATACCTTTTTCACACCATTTTTTTTATATATAAATAGATTATATAAAAAATTATATATATTAAAATTTATAATACGATACAAATTCAAAAGCTTCTTAATATAAATCGCATTATTTCTACTTAACCATACCACGGACCTTGAACCAAATTATGATTGCTTAGAATATCTACCTTCAATGTGTTGCACCTAATACCTATAGGTATACGTAATACGTTATAAGTGAACAAAATACGAATAGGTAGGTATATGTATCTTTTATTTATTTTTGACTCAACACTAAACAGTTAACAGTAATTATTATAAAATAATGTATTTATGTTTACTAATCACTCATAAACTCGAAGACCGAATCATTTTTACTACTATAAAACGTGTATACGTACACAAAAAAAACACGTCATTGTTAAATAATTGGTACATTCGTCATTCCGCACAAATGCAATTCGAAATAAGAATCCTCGTTAAAATATAATGTATGTATCAATAATAATGATGTTAGGGAAAATAAGCCGTGAACGACGTCGGTT